ATTTGAGTTGTTAATAAATCACGGTTCCGCCAAGGAGGTAAGAGAGCTAAGATGAACTCAGGAGATCGCAGCAAATTTTTTGGTCTCAAGATATCAGAGTACTGCAGGAGCTAGGACTTTGCTTAGTAGAAAAATCAGAAGTAGGGGGAGGGGGATATATGGCACGGATTTATAGTGCTTAACAAAAGGCTAGATCTGAAAGCAAGCTGATTGCTTGCGCTCTCTAATCCCCCTGGAAGAGAAAATCGGTTATAATACGCTTTTCGAAGCTCACACTCAGGCCCACAAATGAACTCGGTTTTAATGCGGCAATTAATAAACCTCGACTCGGCCGGCGCCATACACGATTCGCCAAAAATTTTCTCTGCCGGTGGCGATAGTCCTTATCTACCGTGGCAAAGGACGTTGGATGCAGTAGGTGGGGTGGGGAAAGGGTCATGCATGCGGATTTCGCGCGCGGGGATTCGAGGCAGGGGAAGGGTGGGGTGGGTGAATTGAATGGCTATGTGGCGCGGATCCTTTGACGGTCGGCTGGGCAACATGAGGGAAAAGAGGAGGGGGATAATGGGTGGGAAGGAGGAGGGTGGTTTTTTGCCGCAGATACTCGGGATAAGGAAAGGGCTGAAATATTGCCGGCTTCCAGAGTGCCGTTACAGTTGGGATAGAGAGAGGTCTAGATGTTGCTCGCAGTATTTGAAGACAGTGTTAAGGAGAACGAGGGTACAAGTCAGCAACTCAAGGCAAAAACTGGAAACAGCAGTGAAGAGTGGGGGACTTCCCCATGTATGAAAATGATACTTAGTTGAAGCTATGAGCGAATGCGGTAAGGCCGCATAGATAGACCTGAGAGCTCTCAGCTTTATCTAAGCACCAGTTTCTTAAATAGGGGAGCCTACTACTGCAGTCGAGCTGTAAGACTATTTCCACTCATAAGTTTTTGTTTTTGCTAAGTTTTTTATTTATTTTTTTGCTTTTGCCTTCTCAGTTTTTATTTGCTTTTGCTTTCTTTAGCTTTTGTTCCTAGATTCCGATTCTTTGATGTCGCGTTTTTCGTTTTTTTTTTCGTAAGTTCAGGTTTTCTTTAATTTTTGTTGTTTTTTTTTTAATTTTTGTGCTTTATGCGTTTTTTTCTGCTGCATAGGTAACAGTGGTTTCAAAAATTGCCATAGAATTGAAGAATCCAGTCGGGACAGTCCATTTTCCCTGCTTCCATTAATTATCAGAGCAGCACCCGCAAGATTTTCGTCATGGTTAAAAGTTTAGCTCTTTCTGTGACTGGTTCATTTCTGGGACTCGTAAGGGAATGCAATCTTTTCTGCTGGCAATATAGTGCATCTTGTCTTCGTAACGGCAAGCTTCTCCTGAGTAAAATTTGTCTCTCTATAATCTGGCCTTGGTCTCACCGGCACTTTGCATTACTTTCGTTTTCGATGCGTTTGTTTTCAGACTCACTTCCTCTGTATGTTAAGCTCCCATACTTTTTCTTTTCCAGCAGTAAGAGCAAGGGGAAGACGTAGTCCGAAAAGCAGAAACTGAGAATGACATGGAAAATCTCATTTCTGGCTTTTGCTGCCCATAAGCAGCAGCTACGATGGAAAAAGAGGATTACGTAGACTGCTGAGTGTACTGTATGAAATTTTTGCAGCATCGTATCCGGCGGCGGTTCCGTATGCGAGACGTGTTAGTGTTACCGGTGGTATTGTTGTGGGCTGCAGTGGAAGCGCTTCCGCGCAACCGTCTTTTGCAAATAGTGTACAAAATGCTCAAAACAATTTCTCTGCCGCAATGGCACGCCAACAACAGCAAATGCTCAAGCAGCAGGTACGCACTTTTGTTATCACATAGCTGGTAAATTCTGCCTTCAGCACTTCTTAAGCTGTATAAATAGTCGCAAAATGGAAGTGTTAAATTCGACTGGGGTGCCAGTGAGTTAGTCAAAGTGGCATTTCGCAGTGATATTAATCAGTGGATTTTTAATTGAATTAGCCGTTTAGGCATTTTGTTTGGATTGACAACAGATCAAGCTGAGAGTTTGTTTTCAGCCAAAAACGTCTTGACAGTGTGTGTGCTGTGTCATAAAATCACTTGCACCATCGTCGGCACTGCTAGCAAGCACAGCTGAAGTATCTGTGATCGTCGTTGCTAGTCGACAGTCTTCTCTCATGTGATATTTTTGTGAATTCTTCATTTTTGGTGTATATTCGATGTGCTCTTATTGGTTTGCCATGTTAAACCGGTGTAGTCAAAAGTCCCTGGTCGTGCGACAAAAAATTTGTTTCTTCAAAGTGATACTTCCAAAATTACATCCTTTTTCTTCCTATTTGAACGGGATATACCTAGCTGTATTGTATGGATCTTGGGAGCTCCTGC